TAGAAATTGGAAACGAAGGCTGAGGTGCAGCTAGTTAATGAGAGTGAAATTGTGTGTTTTAAATTCCGAAAGGAAGAGCATTGAGCGAGGGATTGTGAAAAGAGGTGACTCTAGTTGGCAGGGCAAAGAGAATGCAGGCCGGGAGATGGGAACGAAACGAAGTAAGCATGAGAGTAGGGAAATAGAAAAGTGAAATACGGATGTTGCAAGGAGAAGGGAGTTTTGTGTATGATCCCTGTCCGAGGGTATGGTTTAATCTAAATGGTAAGGTAGTATCAATGTTGTTTGATACGGGGGCGGCGATATGGGTGATGAAATATGAGGAATATCCTAAGTTATTAGCAGAATGGAGATATGTGTGAAACAGTTTGATGGATCGGAGATAAAGGTCATGGGCCGAGTAAAAATTGGGGATCTGTATATGGGGGAGCTACAAGTGCTGGATCTGTGGATAATGGATCGGAGGGTAGAAACAGTGTTGGGGTTGGATTGGATCAAGAGAGTGGGTCCGGCTTACGATTTTGGGGGGGGGGGGTATTTGCGAGATGGAATGTGTTTGTACCGATAGATGGCAAAGATAGAGATGTGATCATAAAAAACAGTGATAGATGAATGGAAGGAATAGCGCCGAGATGTACGGCGGAGTGGATGGAAGGGATAACATAGAGATGAATGAAGATGAGTCTCTATATTGGGGAGAAAGTGTGAGAATTACAATGAAAGATCGTGTTGATGCTGTGAGGGAAAGTCAAAGGGTAAAATGGAAAAGGGGATGTCGATGATGAGAAAGGAGATTGCAAGATCACAAGTTTAAGGTGTGGGAAATGGAGAATTACAGTGCGAGAAGATGCAAGAACAAGGAAAGGAAGGAGACTGAAAGGATAGGAGGGGAATTGGAATGTGTACAAAAGGAAGTAGAGAGATTGGTAAAGGAATATAATGAGATTTTAAGTGAGGATTAGGGTTGTTTGAGAGATTATGAAGTGGAAATAAGGATGAAGGATGGATGTGTGCCAAAATATTGCGCTATGCGTCGAGAGCCTTTTGAATGGAGGCAGGAGGTAGAGCGAGATAGCTGGGTAAAGGAGGGCATAGTGGGCCCGGTTGAGTGCAGCAAGTTGGCGACGTCTTTGGTACCAGTGAAGAAGGCCAGGAAAGTTGCTGTTGTGTGCGGATTTCCGGCTAACGTTAAATCCATGGTTAGTTAAAGTGAAATATCCGTTACCTAGGATAGAGAAAATATAGGCTAATTTGAAAGGGGGCAGATATTTTACGAAAGTGGATTTTTAGAATGCATATTTGCAATTGCGGGTGAGAAAGGAGATACGGAAATTGTTGACTATAACTACGCCAAAAGGGTTGTTCGCCTTTCGGAGGCTGCCGTTTGGGTTGATCGTTTCTGCGCCAATATTTAGGCGGAGATGGCGGCAGTATTTAAGGGATTAGGGGTAGTATTTTATTATATGGATGATGGGTTGGTAACAGGGGTCACGCCGGAGCAGCACAATCGAAAGTTGGAGGAGGTATTTCAGAGAATCCGAGAGAAGGAATTGATAGCGAGTAGAGAGAAAAGTATACTGGGAGTAAAGGAGGTTGTGTATTTAGGGCATTGAATAAATGGAGTGAAGTGCGGCCACTGGATAAAAATATTGTTGGAATTGAAAATATGATGAAGCTGTCTTGTAAAGCGGAGATTCCTTTGTAGGGATGGTAAATTACTAGCATCGATTTGTTGAGAATTTTGCCGAAGTGGCATCGCTGTTGTACAGGTTATTGAAAAAGGGGGTAAGATTTGAGTGGGGAGATGAGTAAGATGCCTCGTTTGTTGGTCTGAAGAGGGAAATTGGGGAGGAGCCAAATTCTGTATGTTTCAATAACGAGTTGGAGGGTCGAGTAAAGGAATAGGAGGGGATGTTACATGTGATAGATGGAAAAGAGACCGGTATTGTTCTTCTCCAGAGTAGTTCGGGATGCGGAAACGAGGTATTCAGTAATCTTGGCAGTGATTTTTGGGCTGACCAAATGTAGAGAATATTTGATTGGGCGGCGGTTTGTGGTGTATACGGATCATATATAAAAAAGATAACAAGGAGTTGATGATGTCTCTGAAGTTATAGAGGTGGTTGTTATTAGTATGAAGTTTGATTTGACGTTAAAATATCGAAGTGGACGAGAGAATTATTTGCCGGACATTATGTCGAGATGTGAAACAGAAGATATTGAGGACAAAGGTGTGATGGTGGTGGAAAAGATGGAGATGGCTATGGTGAGAGCAATGTCCAAAATTTTGATACGCGGTTCTGTGAGCTGGGAAGAAATTCGCGCTGCGACGATGAAAGAAGAGAGTTGAGTCGAGTAAAGGAATGCATAATGGGGCATAGGCCTTGGCGAGATGGAAATAAAGGGTATAAAAGTGTGGGAAAGGAATTAACAGTATTGGATGATTGTGTAATGCGGGTAAATAGAGCGGTGGTACCTAATAGGCTGAGAGAAGCTGTAATGGTATTGTTGCATGCTGGGCATCAGAGAGTGGAAAGGATGAACCAAAGAGGTCACGAGTATGTGTGGTGGCCTGAGATGAATGAAGAAATTGAGAGGCTGGCTAAGAAATGTGTAGTGAGTAATACCTGGGCCAGTATACCAACGAGGATATAAAAAAAGTATATGACCGAAAGCATCGGGGTCCTGATAGAGAATACACGTGGACTTCTTTGAATTTGATAGTAAAGAGTATTTCCTTGTGAGTTGCATACTCCAAATGGGGAGTTTGAGATTGTGGGTATAGATTGACAACGAAAACTGTGGTCAGAAAATTGAAAAATTATGGGCAAAGTTTGGAGTGGCCAAGGTAATCGTGTCCGCTGAAAGTCCGGCCATTAGTAGTGAAGGGTTCGGGAGATTTTGTTTGGAGAGTGGGGCGAAACATGCGCCACCTTATCAATCGAGCTCGAATGGGCAGGCTGAGAGAATGTTGGGAGTGGTAAAAAGTTGGTTGAGGAAGGCCAAATTTGGAGAGGGTAAGATATGGATATTGGTGGCTTATAATAATAGCCGCAAAGGGGCGGAGTTGTCGCCGTCAGACGTTATTGGGGCGGAGAACGCGAATTGGTTTGAATGCGTTGAGGCCAGGAAATGAGAAGGAAGAGGAAAAAATTGAACAGGAAAATGGTGGAAAGTTTGAGATAGGTCACACAGTGTGGGCAAGGTTGTATGGAAGTGAAAATAAATGGGAATCGGGAGTGGTGGTCAAAAAAATGTGTATCCCGGATGGGGGAATGGGGGTCAGGAAAGCTGACCAGCTAAGGAGGGGAATCGAACTAGGGCGGTTGAGGTCCTGAGGTGGAGGACGGAGATAAAAGGGTAGTGAATGACCCGGTTTTTAAATTTTTTCAAGGTCATTGAAAAATCAACGTCCTCTTCTCCAGAATGAAAAAAGAATAATATGGTATATGTTATCTTTTCATAATTATTATTTTTTATATGAATATATATACCTTTTTAAATTAAATTTTTTATTCTCCAATATATATTGTCTCAACCAGGTGGACTAAATAAATAAGAAAACTATGGTCTAAAAGTGATTCTGATTATCTAAGTCATTTTTTATGAAAAGATGTATTTTCGCAAATTAATTTAATCTAATAGTCGAAATATGTATCTTATTTCATAAATTGTTATATCGTTCTTATTTTATTAAAGGATTTATTTTTATAGAAACGTAACGAAATCTAAGACCCGAGTGATGAAAGAAAATAAAATTGTGTATTCAAAAACATGTATCGTATTTTTGTTTGTAAATGTAGTGGGGGAAAGTTAGTAAAATTTTAACGGTTTACAGGTCAAGAAAACAGAAGGAAGTAGGAGTCGTTTTATTAGTTTTTTTTTGTAAAAAAAGGAAAAATAATAATAAGATTTATAAAATGATTTAAGGTAAGCGTATTTGATCATATAAAGCGTTAGGAATTGAGGATTGTTTACCTTTTTTTTAAAGTTGAATAAGAATAAGGGTCTGGGAATAACATTGTGGATCATATTTTGAAAATTTTTTTTATATTTAATCAGGTCTGTAAATGAAAACGTGGATCAGATTTTGAAAGGAAGAAAGTATGTATTTAAACTATTTTATAATAAGATTTGTTTTATCAAATTCGTTGTACCTCTGGGTTTTCAAAAAAAAATTAGATTATTTCGAGTTTTAGGGTTATGGTTCATATTTTTTTGATTTATCCCGTTAACTTATAGAAAACGAAAGAAAGATTATGAAAATATTGTAAAGATCAAGTGGTCCACTGAAAACTACTACCATAGTGAAATAAATGGCCGGGAATAATGCAGCAGTAAACAACAGAGGGCAGTTCGGTCGTTTGTAAGGGGGGAGATGTCATGTGTGACGTTTTATATACTATTTTGGTATATATGTTTTTGTTTGTAAATTCACTAATTTATTTTTTATCACGCGCAAATTTAGTTTGTAACATTGGCGCATTGATTTGGCTTTGGATTGTAAGACTCAGGATGTCATGTTATATATATTTATAAGAATTATTTTTTATTTCCCTTATTATAACGTATAAAAAGGCCGTTTTCGGCAGATTATTCATTATTATTGTTTTTATTTTGAATTTAATAAAATCTATTCTACCCGAACTGTTCCATAAGTTCAGTTTCAGACCCTTGTTTTAAATTAAATTATGTTTTAATTGATGATAACTTATCAAATCTAACAAGTCGTATCATTATAGATAATAAATCAGCTGTGGTATCGGCAATTTCCATCAGTTTGGCTTATACGATAATTTTGCACTTATATAGAAGTTATTCCATATTTTACAGAGTAACTTACTCAAAAATAAAAACGTTATTTTACTAGTTTTTCCGAAAATAGTAACGAATGACATTACCTCTTCCTGAAAAAAAAATATGTCATCGCAATTATAATGTAGGCATATTATTGAAGTAATCAAATATCAACAAATGTAATGAGTTGATAATCTGTTTTATTTTTATTGCAATGTGTGCGAATAAAAGAAATTTACATAAAAGAAAACTTATTATTTACTAAAATTTGATAATAAAATTAGCATTTCTATATTATATATAAAAATATCCATTTTAACATGTGGGTTCTTCACTTGGTAACGGTAACATTTTTTCAAACTTTCATATCGTTCAATCCCAGTTCTTCGTTTTGTTGCCAGGTTCTATCGTAATAAAAGTACTTTATGTTTTCATCGATATAATCGTCTTTAATATTATCAGCAGAGCCAGCTTTAATATCATTTGATTCCGGTAATATAGCCTTTTTATTTTCGGAGTTAAAATCGGTGCTTGTCATATGACTGTTACCTGTAGAATCATAAATTTAAATTATTTCACAAAAAGAAATTTATAAATATGCATTAAAGTTGTGGCGATTAATTAAATTATTTTTAAAATTAAATCATGCATCGAACATTTGTTAACGATTTTGAAAAAAAACTATGTCCTTATTTATCGAGCCTTAAGGGTTTTCTAGTTTAAACAAAGCAATCAGAATGTGCAAAAGTTAGAGCTTATAAAGATTTACAAATTTTTAAAATTTATTTTTTGAAATAATGATTATTGCAAATTTCGAGTTTTGATTATTACATACCAGTAGGATCGTTTAGCACAAAACTATAATTGAATTTTTTGGCTTGAATCATTAAATCGAGCTCTTTGATAAAATTTTCGTATTTTTGAGAAATGTCATTTTTACTAGAATCCCCGTAAGCGAAAGGATTGTTGTCGTTCAACTTGTAGGAAAAAAATCTTAAAAAAATTAGCTTTGTATCAAACATAAATCTTGGCCCGGTACCGCCTTAAAATTTTGGGCCAGGCCTAAAAATTTTAAAATATTACAAACCCGGTGGTGATTTAAGCATTCGATCTTTACTCTACAGGTCTTTGCTTTATATCGAACAAAAATGTTATACTTAAAATTAACGAGTTTAAACATCATAAAATTGATGATTAATAAATAAAATGTTCCTTAATGGGGTTTAGTATCGCTAAAATTACTTATTTATTATATTAATTTTAAATAAAAATAAATTGATATGAATATAGCGCATTGTTCTGAAATTTAAAACTAGAAAATGAAATTGGTAAATCAATATATTCTAAAAATTAACAAAGTAGTTAATTTGGTAGGGGTAACGTAGGTTATTAAAATATTTCTAAAAAATTTATAAAAACCTGTTCTCTAATATCTGTTAAAAGGCCTTCAATTGTCGTGTATTTGGATCCTAAAGTAGTTGGCGATAGTTCTAAAGATATTTCGGGTATCGAAATAGAGCAATTATCTGACTGAACATTATATTTAAAAACGGCATTACATTATTAAATGTCCAAATGCCTATTTCTTAAGTCAATTAAGTTGTTAAAAAATTTGTAATTTTAAGGATTAGTGCTCCATCTAATAGTCAATTTTAAACAAGTTATTCGTTGTCAAAGCTAAAAGTGTAAGGCTGTTTACAATGTTAGAATAAAAGTAAATTAATAATTTTAAATTTTCATATAGATTTACAATTTCTATATATATCAAAACTTCATATTGTTAATAGTTAAGTTCAAATTGTGATTTTTTAAAATTATTATAAAAAAAAAATTCTAAAATTCCGAGGCTCATTAAAAGCTAATTATCAAAAACTATGAGCCAATTTAGAATCTACTAACATGAATCTAATCGTTAATCAAAAGCTATCAAAATCCTATTAAAAACATAGCCTTTATAAATTTGAGAGGAAGAAATAGTTGACAAATTTGATGTTGATGAATAATTAATACAATTAGATATAATTATTTTTTAACAAATTAGTGAAGGTCAATCAGGACCGTTTCAGACGTCTCCATTACAGCCCGAAAAGACTTAAAAGTGTATGAATGAAGATCGAGTTTAAGATTCAAATAGGATCTATTCTATCTGCTAGAATCGGTTCAGCCAACTTTAAAAAAATCGAATCGTGAAACGGTTGTAACCTTTCAGGTTGTTATTATATTAATTTCTTTCTTTGTTGAAACGAAAAAAATGAAATAAAATTTTTTATACTTTGATAACTTCGCGGGATAAATCTTTGGCACTTTTGACGAATAATTCTATTTTGCATCCCTTATCGCTAATTCCTCCTCCAGTTTTGACCTCATTAGTTTTATTGGCACATTTGTCACAATTAGAGGCCATAATTATTAATTCTTTAAAATGCGGTATGGCTTTTATTTAATAGAAGCATTTGTGATTAGAGACAATAGATAATTAAAATCAGTTTTAATTTAATTTTTAGACTCAAAATATTATTTTATGCTTGTGGTGATTGGAAAAATTAGGTCAACCTCGCCTAGTTTGAGGTAGGCCTTCATCACATTAAAGTTGGACAGATCCTCAGGAAAAAGAATCTAGATACAGATTCTTTATAAAAAATGGATCTTAAATAGAGATACTAGTATCTTATTAAAAAAATACAAGATAAAATATTATTTTTATAAAATTATCATAACCAATTAAATTAGACTAGTTTATAAAATAAAATTTTTATTATTTATTGTAGAACATAACATACGCATATAAGAATGAATATTTATTGACGAGTTAATAATAATCAATTGAGGCTCGAAGAGTATTTGCATGGCCAGTTTGGATATTGTTTTAAAATATATTATTTTATTTTTATAGATAATAATACCGAATTAAAAAAAATTAGATACGGCCTGGGTGTGCAGGTCTCTGATTTTAATATTAATTTTATCTAGTGCTGTGAAGTAATGTCAAGAAAGTAACGTCGTTACTAATGACGTTACTTTTTTGAAGAAAAGGAACGCCATTCGTTACCTTTTTCTAGAGGTAACGAGTAACGGTAACGCGATTTTTTTTAGTAACGGTAACGCAAAACGTTACTTTATATTTTTTCTTAAAAATATCAACAAAAAGAAAAACATATTTTATTGTATTATAAAATTACTTTTATTTATTTTTTAATTAATTTAAGCCGAGTTTTAATTTATATCAACCACTTCCTTCATTTTTATTTTAAATTCTCTTTGTTAAATTTTCTGTCGAAATTAATATTCAATCAAAATTCAAAGTAAATGTTAATAATGATTTTTTTTTTCTCTTTAGCTTTCACCTTTTCTGGTGGTAAGCTCCTTCAACATCTCTCTCCACTTTGTGTTATTAATACAATCTCTTTTATCTAATTTATACTTCTTTATATTGGCTCTAACTTTATGGCCCCATTGGAGTTTTGGCCTTCCTCTTTTACGTTTGCCCATCACTTCCAAACTCTTAACTTTATTTCCTATGTAGTTCATAGGCCTTCTCATTGTGTGCCCATACCACCTAAGTCTATTTACCATTAACTTAGTCTTAATGGGCACTACCTTTAAACGGTTCCATGTCAATTCAGCGAAAATTTTATCGCGAAACACTTTTTCGCGAAACTTTTATCGCGAATGGATTTTATAGCGAAACTTTTATCGCGAATCCATAATAGCGAATACTATTCCGCGAATGCAATATCGCGAAACAAATATCGCGAATTTTTTATAGCGAAACCTTTATCGCGAAACCTTTATAGCGAATACATTACCGCGAATACAATATAGCGAAACAAATATCGCGAATTTTTTATAGCGAAACTTTTATCGCGAAACCTTTAATGCGAATACATTACCGCGAAACTTTTATCGCGAAAATTTTATAGCGAAACTTTTATCGCGAAACATTTTAAGCGAATACATTACCGCGAAACTTTTATCGCGAATCAATAATCGCGAAAATTTTATAGCGAAACCTTTATCGCGAAACCTTTAAAGCGAATACATTACCGCGAAACTTTAATCGCGAAAATTTTATAGCGAAATTATTATCGCGAAACCCAAATCGCGAAGACAATGTAGCGACAATTATTTCGCGAAACATATATCGCGAAGATATTATAGAGAATTTAATATCGCGGTAATTGCTAATAATGACTAATTTATTTTGAATCATTTTTTTATAATTATATTATTTGAATAATATTTTTTTAATTCACATAGTTTGTAATTTTCTTATAACCTTAAAAATTTTTTACAATGATTAATTAACTTAGACTGGTTTATGAAATTTGTTATTGAAATACACTTTTTTCGCTATCCTATCCTTTCCTTCGAAGTTCTTATTTTATAATAATCGCGCACAAGGAACTCAGCTTTATCAATATATTAATCATTGAGTTTATTAGTTAAATCTTGATATTTATTGGCGAAATTGATATCTGGGTAGCATTCCTATTTATTGTCTGATGACTTAATATTTATAAATTTATCAATCAATTTTGGCCAGGGTTAGCAAGTCAGTCAAATGACCAGTCAAATGACTAGATTTTGACGGGTCAATTGAACGGGAGAATATTTGACCTGGTCAAGTGGTCATATATTCTATAAGATCTGAATATAAAAATATGTTTGAAAAAGAAAAAACGATATAAATACATGTGAAATGTGATCACAATGCTTATTGAGTTCCTAATATTAAGGAGAGCATTTTAATCATAGTGAATTTAATGAAGTATGTAATATAATAAAAGAATTAGGCATACAAGGTGGTGATCAAAATATTTCAAGCTATATCATAAATTTCAGAAATAAAAGCGGCTTGTTTAATAGAAAATCATAGGGATAGCAGTAACTTCCATAAGAAACAATCAGATTTCAAACTCAAGCAGTGGAATTAGCTTTGACCACCATGGCCATTAAGAGAAGTGACATTACTAACAATTTCTTGATCTACTTCTTCTTCAGAAAGAAATTGGTCTATTTGTGTCAATAATCTTACTAAAACAGAAATCGATTGAAGATTTAGACAAAAAGAAAATTGATTAAAAAATATTAAAGAAAATGATGATATTCAATATAAAATAATATTTATTTGATTTTAACTATATTTGATCGGTCAAATGCACAACCGTGGTTTTGGCAGTCACTATTCTTAAACAGTGTAGATGAATAAAGTCTACAACATTACTGTTTAGAATATCAATTTTGAATGGCAATTCAAAAATAAATTACATCTAAGTGAAATAAGGGATTTCCCCAATTTAAAATATTTATTAATTTTATTATTTTCAATCTTTATAGATATCTTTTTATCTTTTCTGTTTATTTGAAGGGGGGGGGGGCGTGATAAAATTTTTAGTTTAATAACTCGGCATTAATTTAAATATAATATTTTGATATGGGTTCTTATTGAATCTTAAATAATTTTAAAATATAATAAAAAAAATAGCTACACTAAAAATTAACAAATAATTAATGACATATTTGATAAATTATAACTATTTTAAAAAAAAAGTATTGCCGAAATTTAAAAAAAAAAATTTTCCCGTCTGGCTGGTGCCATTCCTTTGGTTATAAATTATAAATATTTTCGCCATTCTTTCCTCTTTATTTCGGAGTCTTATAAAATATGTTATCAAGCAAAAATAAGGAGATCTTAACCTTTAAAAATTATTTGTTCCGCCTGGATAAAGTAGTCTCAGATACTAATTATTATAGATGTATCAATCAGGATATTTTTAAATGTCCCGTACGACTCACAAAAAAAAATGGTAAGATAAAAGATAATAATGAAATACACAATCATCCAGAAAATCCAATCGAAATGGAAACCAAGAAAATAATCAATTCAATTAAAAATGAAGCTTTGAATAATATGGAAACTCCAAAGTTTATTGTGGCGAAACACGTATCTCAATTAAGTGATTCTATATCAATGGCACTACCATCACCGAATCTTATGAAACGTATAATTCACCGAACGCGGAGTTCAAACAGTTTTGCACCTCCGAATTCTAGCAGCCTTATTGAGCTGGTAATTCCGCATGAATATTCAATTACGGATAAATATGAGGATTTCATACTTCATGATGATGGTCCGGTAAGATTTTCTATAAATTTTTTGAACAAATATAACTAAATTCTTCATTTTTGTTGCGATAAGCTGCCCGATAAGAAACACTTTATTATAATTGCTTATTTATTTATCAAGTGTGTCAGGTTCCCGACCGTGTTATCATATTTGGAACAAGAAAAAATTTGACTTCTTAGCTTCATGCGAACATTGGTTTTCTGATGGTACATTTAAATCGTCGCCACCTTTATTTATGCAAATTTATACAATTCATGGGATTAGAAATAATAATGTTTTACCTCTCATATATATATTGACCAATAGAAAGGATTATGAAACTTATAAAAGAATATTTACTATTATAGGTGACAACTTAATATCAACTCCAAAAAAAATTATGACGGATTTTGAAATAGCCACTGTAAAAGCTTTCAATGAATGTTTCCCAATTCACAACACAAATGTTGCTATTTCCATTTTGGCCAATCCTTTTGGCGAAACATTCAAAAATATCCAGAAATATCGCATAAATATAAAACAGATGTAGAATTTAATATACAACTTAGAATGATGGTTTGTTTGGCGTTTGTGCCACCCTTAAATGTATTTGAAACATTTGAATTACTAATAAACTCCGAATTTTATTCTAATAATCAATTGTTACTTCAGCCTCTAATTGAAACTTTTGAAAAAGCTTATATTGGTAAAACGTTTGGAAGAGGCAGACTACCTGCTTTGTTTAATATTGAACTCTGGAATTGTTACCAATCAACACTGAACGGGGAAGCGAAAACCAACAACGCGGGTGAAGGGTGGCATAGATGCTTCAGTTCCCTCCTAACAAGTTACCTTCCAAACATGTGGAAATTTATATCAAGTTATCTATATATCTATTATTTTAAAATGATTTAAAAAGTATAAAGATTTACTAATAAACTATATAATTTTTCCTAGGCTTAAAAAAACAACAAGGGTTGACAGAGTTAAAAATTGCTCAATATAATTCTGGTGAAACACCCTCTACCCCGAGAAAAAAATATCGAAATCTACATGCGAGAATAGTAACAATTGTTTCTGACTTCGAAAATCGATCAAGATTAGATTATCTTAAAGGAATCGCTATTAATATAACATTGAATGTTTAATTTTTTAAATTCTTATCTACAATAATAAAAATTTTGTTTGTTTTTATATAATAGTCTCAAAATTTTTATATTTTCATTATTTTTTTGTGACAAAAATATAGGATACTTTGGTATAAAATTTAGCTGGTTACTTAAGACTCATTCATCAAGATATAGATTTTATGAGGGTATTTACAAAT